TTATAACAATTATATTCATTTATAACAGTTTGCGATCACATGCAGGATCAATTGATTGGGAAAGTCCAATCAAGTTTAAAATTAAAATTCCTTTTTAAGATTAATAGCATACAAAATTTTAGCATTCAATTTAAAATTTTTTCAGATATTTTTGTTTACCGTAAAAGACGAAAATGAGAAAGTTTTTGCAGTCACGTGCTTAGCACCTACATATATACATATCTAGAAAAGAGATAAATTATATTAATAAAGAAAAAAAAAAAAGAGAAAAAAAAATTTTCGAAAATTAAGGTCTTCAGTTATAATAGTTCTTTTTTTTTGTGAATGGAAAATTTTTTTTTGTTTTTTTGAAAATCATCAAAATCATTCATTAATTTTACTTTGTTTTTTGTTGTTTTTGTTTTTATTTTTTTTTTCATTCTATAAAATGTTGTTCTTTTTTTTTTTTTGTAAAATAAAATGTTTTCCGCCCACGTTATTTTATTTAATTTTTTGTTTCTTTGTGCAGCATTATTAAGCATTCCAAGTATAACAAGAGTCAAAGGATTTAAAAGGGTTATAGATACAAATCTCTTATACAGGAGGATTATTACACAACATATTTATGGTATAACAATATCATGGATTCTTCCGTTTTTTCTTTATTATTAACATTTTTCTATTCCTAGAGATTTTCAATTCATAAAAATTGTGAGAATAACAAAGACAATTTCGTATATAATGAAAAATTTCTTTTAAAGGGGGGCAATCGCTCTTATAATTTTCATATATGTAAAATTTTTTTAATCAACTGTAATATCGAAGTTGGAAAGTGATTATTGAAAAGTTTGTATATTTGTACATTATTGCTGAGTTTTTCGATTATAATTATTTTGAATATTTGGAGTAAAAAAATTAAATTTTATCTTAGTACTTGCATGTATAGTAAAGATGCCGAAATCAAAATGGAATTAAATTAAAAATAAAAATGAAAATTAGGGTTCCAAATCCGTATGTTTATCATATTTTGAAATCGTTTAGATTTTATTGCATTACAATTTAGAAATTACAGTCATATTACATAATAATTGCACTCTTTTATTTTTAAGGAGTTTTTAATACTTTCATAATTTCTAGAACAGTATATAAAATTCTGTTATTTTTTTGACTTTCAAAACAATTTAATAACTTTTATACAAACATACACATACATATATGTGCGGAAATGAATTTTCGACTAATTTTACCATCGTAAATCTTATTCTCTTTTAAAGTACACCCAATAAGTATAGTCAAATGAAATCTTTCTTTCAAAAGATTTCCTGCTAATGGTTTTATTATGTTCTTTTTAAACTGTTTTCTCAATTTTATTTTCTATGTATAGAAAAATTATGATTAAAGCATGTTATTTTTTATATTCGTACAATTTTTATAATACTAAATTGCAAAAAAGAGAGTGCATCAAAGAAATAATAGGTTGATTTATGTAATAAGAAAGCAATTAAAATTATTTAAAAAAAATTGAAAAATGTTGATATTTCGAGTATTATGTGACAGTCTGTGATACAATCAAGTCTGATGATAAAATATGACAATATATATATACAACAGTAAAATCTGTCGAAGTTATTAAGAAATTATCTGTCGAGTGGCTTATATTAAGTTTATTACGGTTTTAAAGAGTAAATATAGGTGCTGTCAAGTTTAAACCGAATATTTTCCGATCTCTACAATATTCATTTTCTTTCTGTGAAATTAAAAATTAAAATAATAATAACAATTTTGTCTTAATTTCAAATTTATATGCCACACATATGACTTTTCCAAATGTTTAGATTCATCTGAACTTTTCATAAAATTTTTACGGTTTTCGCATTTGACAGTTTGTTTCTCTTTTTAGTACTAAATATTTTTAGTACTAAATTTTACTTTCACTCATAAAACATGACGCTTCATATAAAATTCGGCCTTATCGGTTTCATTGTACAAGAATGTATCACAAAAAAAAAATTCCAATTAAATAAATTCAACTATAATTCAAATGTAATTAAATAAATTGAAACATCCTGTACTTACTTATATATTTTTCATTTTAAATACATTTATATAAAATATGTTTCGGCACAAGATAGTAGTCTTTAGTATAAAAAGGTTATAAAATATTTTAAGAATTTTCATTGGTTCTTAAAAAACATGTTACGGAAGTTTTCTTAAAAATATTCTAAAAATTTTTATTAAAATAACAAAAAAAAAAAGAGAACAATAAAAGTTTATATATATGCACATACAATGTCGGAAACAAGGATATTCCTTAAATTTTTTAATATCACAGTTCATTTTTTATGGGAATACATATACATACATACTAGTACAAATAAAATACCATGTATAACTCTTAAAGATGAGGAAATCTAGCTATATTATATTCGAAGAAAAATAAACCGAAAAGTTTTATTCTGAAATTTTTTTTTTATGTATGTACTCGTACCTTACAGCTATGGTGCTATAATAACAATGATTGTGTTAAATACTTTATATTTAAAAGCAATTTAGTTCCTTTTTATAAAATGAATTTTTTAAGAAAAGCATTTTTTTGTTAATTTTTTCTTTTGTTATAAATGAATTTCAGTTTAAAGCTTATTTGAAATTTTCTCTTAATTTTTCTTTTTCATTTTAATTAAAATGTTAATTAAACTATAGTTTTTTTTTTCAAACAATAGATTTTTAATTGTTTGCATTAAAATTTAAAAATTTAATTATTTGACTTATACATATAGAACTAATTAAAAATTTGAAGTGTTTATTTGAAGTTTTTAACACTTTTAGAGAGAATTGAGAATTTTTAATATAGTATAGTACTTTTGTATAAGAACATGGTACTTGTTTAATTTCTATTGTGAATTTTAAAATTTTTGAAAATTTTTTTGACTTTTACCACAAAATTCTTACTTTATATTCCAATTATTATGATGTTTAGTATAATATTATTGTAATTTATTAATTTCATAACTTTCAATAACAACATCTGGTTGTTGTAATGGACTTTCTATTAAAATATATTTAAACATTGTTAAGAAATTTTAACAAGCTCATATTTTGAAAGTTCAACTTTCTTATCACTTTTCAAATGTCATATCGAAAGTTATCAAAATTGTTAAAGTTTTTTAAATGGAAATCCAAAAGAACAAATAAAATCACAATAAAAAAAAAAACTTTTATATTTCAATATTCATTCAGAATATAGAGAAACTTTGTATAAAAAGTTGTAGAAATTTAAAAATTTATATTTAGCAATTTTTAAAACAAATTTTCGAAAAATATTATTTATTAGTTTCATCCTGTCTGTCCACCAATTTATCCTCGTCTGTCCAATCCCCTTTTCAATTACCGCTTCTCAAAATTTTGTAAAATTTTAATTTTCGACATTTTATATTTCCGAAACTGCAAGCTTTTTCAAATTTATATTAATGTAAAAAGCTAATGGTAAATTTCATCCAATCAAAAAATATCATAATTAAAATAACTAACCCTCGAATTCAACAATTATGTTAACGCTTCTATGACTTCTATTACTTGTATAAATTTTGCTGTATGAAGGAAAGTACAAAATTTAATTAATGCAATATGTAGACTATTTTTGTATGTTTTTTCAATTGTTGAAGGGAAAAGTGCAACTTTAAACACCATTGGTATTACTCAACTTTATATAATTTGACTTAAAGAAAATATTTACGTGTTTTATTCGAAAATCGCGTTACTTCGTTTCGAAATTTGCGTTATATTGTTTTAACCACTTCACAGATATTATACTTAATATTTATATAAACAGAAATAAATGAAACATAAAAATATATCAGTTATAACAATTTGAAATCTTCGTCAACATGTCCGAGTAATTCTTCAATATTCAACAATTATTTGTTATGCTGCTTTTACAACTTATAATATTTTTGCAGTAGCTATATATGAAAAAAAACTTAAGATCTTAAAGAACTGCATTTTTTGAGCTTGCTATCTTTGCAGATTTTTCAGTTTGAATTTATTAAACGTGCTTTATATTAAGACTTAATTTAGAACAGAATAATCAACAAATTGATTATTTGGCACTGAAATTTAATTCTGAGAATGAATTTGATAGTATGGCATTGAATCAGCAGAGGGCTTTAAATTAAAAAATTGAGTTTTCGTTAAAGAATTTTGAAATAACACAATTTTTACGTCAGCAGTGCAAATTATTATTGACAATTTAATTATTATTGTGTCATCAATTGTTAATAACATTTAAAGTTTATTATTTATTAATTAATATTTTATTGATATATCTTAATTAATCTGGCGTTGTTAGGGTGGCGTAGGTTATTATTTTACTTGTATTTTTTTTTAATAACCTATTGTTTTTAATTGAACAGCAACAATAAGGGAAAACGAAATTAATACTATAACTTTTTTCTAAAATTTTCTCACTTAATAAACCTTCTCTTCAGTACTCAAAAAATTTTATCTTGTATGTGTTGCGTTGGTGTTAATATTCAATTATTTAATTGTTATGACATTAAATCATCTCATATTACATAGAATGAAAAATCAGAACGATATTACGAGTAATATGTTTTTTTCTGAAGAAAAAGTTTAACAAAAGAAATGTTATGAAGATTTTTTGGAATATGCTTACGTTTACATATAATATTTGCAAGCATATTATATGAAAATGTACATACATATATGAAATATAATCTTAAAGATAATTTTAAAAATTCAATATTTAATGTATGTATGTAAGTATTTTAATAAACCTTCAGGTGTATTTAAATATAGTTAGGTTACAGGTGTCATTAAATGTCTTTTACTTACACAATAGCAAAATTGTTTTTAATTTTACGTCAAATAATTTTACAAATGTTTAGAATTGGCATTTAAAATTAAAATAATATAATATACTAATATGATTATAATCAGATAAAATTAAATTCTACGTACATACATATTTTAATATTTAATATACATACATTTTATAATTTCAGATTACACACAGGATGGAGTACACGAAAAACTCCTGGTGCATTGCGACCAGATGAGCAAGCCGCAATCATATCGGTTATAAGAAGAAATGAAGATATTGAAATAGCAGAAAGACAACGTGTGGGTCGTTTAGTTGAACGTGTTGAAAAAATAAAAGAACGTGCTGCTAATTGTGGTCCAAATAGTTGTAGACTTTGTGGACAAACATTTGGATTTTTGGGACCATCAAAATTAATTTGTACAGATTGCCAAAAACCAGTATGCTCAAAATGTTCGATAGATTTAGGACAAAAAAATTCATACAAATCCAAGTATAAAGTTTGAATTTTTTTTTATTTTGTCAGCAAGTAATTTAAACGTACATATACAATTTTCTTTTTTCTTTTTAGAGAGATAACTTTATGCAGAATTTGTTCTGAAACTCGAGAAATGTGGAAAAAATCAGGAGCTTGGTTTTTCAAATGTCTTCCACAATATGAAATGCCATCTTCTACAAGTTCATCTCCAATTAGAAGTTCAAGAAAAGAAAAAGTTAGCCGTCCAGTTAGGACAACAAAATTAGGTATGGAATTAGATGATGATAGTGCAAGTAGCGAAGATGAAACAGACGAAAAATTACAACAAAATGAACGTGCTTCCCCATACACTAGTATACAGCGTGAGGATAGTTTTCGTTTAAGAACAGTCGGATCATTTCGAAGTTTTTTTGAGAATGGAGAAAGAAAATTTTCAAATTCATTCTTTTTTAATAGACAACCATCAAGATCGGAAAGTTGTAGTCAACCAGATTGGGATACAATTTCAGCTATTTCAGCAACAACAAATATAACATCTGGAACTAGTATACGAGATCGTCGTGAAAGTAATAATTATGCTAGAAGAGGTTCTGTATCATCCAGTTGGTCTGTAAGTGAATCATCTTCTGGAAATGGAAGTTCGAGTAATCAAACAAATCAAATTAGTCAAGTTTGTCGTACTGAACCACCACTCGGATGGCTAGAAGTTCAAATGAATTATTGTGAAATGAATCATACATTAGCGTGTAGTGTATTAAGAGCTCGTGATTTACCAGCAATGGATAGTGCTGGTTTGGCAGACCCATTCTGTAAATTAAATATAATAACTCCAGAAGGAGCAACAAAACAAACAAGATGGCTTAAAACAAAAACTGTTCATAAAACTAAAAATCCAGAATTTAATGAAAATATAACATTTTTGGGTGTTGAACCTGAAGAACTTGGGAATTCTGTTTTATATGTTGTTATATTGGATGATGATAAATATGGTCATGATTTTCTTGGAGCTGCCAAAGTAGGATTATCAACAGTAAGAATTTTTTGAATAGAATACTAAAAATTTATAATTCTGAAATCTTTTATTATTTATACAGTTACATAATATAAGTCCACATCGGTTAACTGTACCATTGGTGTCAGAAGATCAGTTTAGTTCAGAAGCCATTACCGCTGGACCATGGCCCCGTGGTCAAATGTTAATTTCATTATGTTATAATACAAAGAAACGTTCTTTAGCAGTTATGGTAAAGCGATGCACGGATTTGTTACCAATGGATAATAATGGCAGCTCAGATCCATTTGTAAAATTGTAAATATATTTTAAATATTATAAGTTTATAGCTATTTGTTAGATTTGTATAATGAAAATTAACCAATTTTTTTTTAGACAACTAAAACCTGACTCTCACAGAAAAAAATACAAAACCAATGTCAAGTGGCGTAACCTTAATCCAATTTTTAATGAAGAATTCCTATTTGAAACTCGCCCAAATGATTTAGATAAACAATGCTTGATTATAACTGTGTGGGATAAAGATCTTGGAAAAAGTAATGATTTTTTAGGTTCATTGATTTTGGGACATAATAGTAAAGGAAGACGATTAAAACAGTGGCAAGATTGTGTAAAATTACCGGATCATTATCATGAACAATGGCATTGTTTGTCAAATGAACAGCCGTCGCACTGATTTCAATTTATTTTTTTGTACATTATAAATTAATTTATTTAAAAAGTTTTTTTTTTTTAATCAATTAGTTTAAAGTGACCTTTTAAAATAAATGATGACTTTATTATCAATTATATATTCGTATATTTAAAAATAAAAAAAAATTAAATAAAATTTGAGATCTCCTAAAATTTTTATTAAGTATTTTATTTTTAAGTATGGCTTATGTATATAATGTACATAATGTATATACAGTTTATTACTTCATAGAAGCATGAGGTTTATTGAACTTTCATTTGCTCTACTTTACCGAATTTTCACTGAGATTTTTAGAAATGTGTTAGCTTTTCGTTATTTTAGCATTGGACAGAAAAGAAGTCAACTCTTGCTTTAAGAAATAAACTCTTTACTTTTACAAAAACAAAACTCTTTCAACACATTGAAAATGAGAACAAGGCAAAAAAAACAAGTGAATTATAAGAGCAAAAGATTTTGGTAACTGAGGTTGAGGAGATCATTTAAATACATCTTTTAAATAAATTTGAGTTCATGATACTAGCTATCTTAATTGAATTTTATGCTATTTACGAACTGAAAATACTGAGAGTATGACTGTATTATTTCACTTTAATAAATGCTATCAAAAATAGCTTACAAAAATTCGGTGTCATCCAAAAAAAAAAAAAATAACAAAATTAAATAAAAATTTCAATTTTAATACTTAAATAGTCGTTATTTATTATTTGTAAATACATAAAACAGTGTTTTTATTTTAATAAATTTTTTGTATTTTCTCTTCATATTTTTCTTTTCTTGTAACACTATTACGATCTACTAGATTTTCTTAGTTGTTTGTTCTTTTAGTTAATTTTTTTATTTTTTCAAATATATTTTTAATTTTTGTTTTTTTTTTGTTTTTTAGTTAATAATATGTATTTTAATATTTAAATATTATAAAAATTTATTTACTTTCACTCTCATAGAAATTAATAAATGATATTTATATAAAAAAAATTATAATAGAAAAATTGTGTAAGATTACAAGAATTATTTTATATACAAAGTGGTAATTGATAAAAATTTATATTGGTGATATAACAAATTTTCAGGATAAATTAAAATTAAGAATATTATTATGATTAATTATATGACTTATAGAGTTTTTAAGAACAAGTAGAATAATTTAATATTTGATATAATATATAGGACACTATAGGGATTAAATTTCTGTTTGCAAAATTCTAAGTTATAGTATAAAGAAGACATAAATTATTATTTAATTTCAATTATGATTAATTACTTCATTTAATTAATGTTATTAATTATTAGAGTTAATCTTTATTTTTATTTGAATATTAAAAAAATTTAAAATATTTTTTTTATTTAGTTTCACTGGAAATAAAGTCCTTCATGTTATAAATTTATTACTTGTATTTTGGAATGCTTAAATAATTTGGTCGAGTTCATAGATTTCATAAAAAAATTGTTATATGTATAAAAGTCTTTTTAATAGTTTTCTTCGTAATTTTATAATAAATAATTTATATATGAAGAGTAAAATAAAAGTTAAAAATTTAACTAAGATCATAGAAGTTAATTTGCTGCCATGTATTAAAGGTATATACTTTATGTTTATATTGTATTCCAAATTTTATGTCAAAACAATATTTTTATAATAATTGAATAAAAATGTTTAAACTAATATCTAACTTATACCTATTGTAAAGGAAGGAAGTATACATTTTATTTTACTAAATTTGGAATATGTTTCCAATAAGATTTCCAAGTGAAAATATTTTAAGAAATAAATTAGGATACAAATTGAATGTTTTTGATGTGAATGATATTTTTCACACTTATATGCATTTTGGAAGGCATTGATTTTTTTTTTTAATTAAAGTCATATTGAATGATTTACTTAATTGTAGCGTTTTACTTGACTAACAATAAATTTAATTTTTACAAAAAAATTATTGAAAAAGAATATTTTTATTTTTTTTTTCAAATATCCAAGAATTAGAAGTACAAAGTGATCCAAGAATTAGAAGTACAAAATTATGGATAATAAAAGTTTTGTATAAACAGCAAATATCTTAGTTTTTTTAATTACAAAATAGTAAAATTTTTAAACAAAATTATTTTTTTAATTAATAAAACAATATTGCTGTAATAATAAAAATATTAATTTAACATAAATCATAACAAAATTATAGAATGAATGTTGGTGTTTCGTTTAAAATTAAAATAAAAATTATAGTACATTATAATTATTAAATTCATAATATTATATCAAGTATTTTGAATTTGTATATTTATAAAAATTGTAATTTCTTACAAAAATTATTGTGAAAGTAATTGATTTTGTAATTTTAATGAAATATTTATTGAATTGTCCTATTAATCCTATACAATATCCTTGGTCAAACGTAAATTTTCTTTCTTTTTTTTTTATTAATATTCCACTTGCGATATGTCGATAATAGAAGGATAAAAATAAGAAAATTTTACAATTCTTGTGTAACTTATCGTAAAACTATTTTTGTTTTTTTTTTTAATTTGAGTTTTTAAATTTATTCTTTTTTTATAATATTCGTTAATTTTATTAAATTCTAAAACAACATTAATAAATAAATTACAATATATTATAATATATTTTTTCATTTTTAATAATATAATTGATATATTTTATGCAAGAAATTTGCATTAGTTTGTATTTTTTTTTTTCTTCTTTCTTTTAATATTCAATATTTTAATAATAAATTAGTTGTATTTTAATATTTTAATTTCTTGTTTGTTTCATTTTTTTTTTTGTTAAAATATCATGCTATCAATTTTGTATAAATAAATTTTTTTTCTTTAGGTTTTTCATATAATGTATGTATGTATTTTGTTATAGTATATTTTTTATTATTTTAATAAAAATTGTGTAAATTGTGTGTTTTTATTTGTATTTTTAAGGATTTGTGATAAATATATATATATATATATATATATATATATATATATATATACTTATATATTCTAATTTTATTATTTGATGAATTGGTGATATTTAATTAGAAAACAAATTTGTTTATCAATAATTTAATATAGAAGAAGCAATTAAATTGCATTTGTAAATTAATGATATGAATAATATTAATTATATAAGCTGTATATTTGATTTAATACAATTTAATAATATTCTATATTATATGTAATATTTGTTTTATTAAATGTAATCTTCTTTGAAAATACTGTTTAATTTTATGTAGGACAAAAAAAAAAAAAGTTGAAAACAAAATTGTTTAAATTGTTTACACAAAAGCCCTGTTTTTACTGAAATTATTTTCTTTAATATTTAAGGAATTATATTTTTTTAGCATTTTACAAATATACAGCAAATTTAATACGGAAAAAAAAATTTTTGTTGAAATAACATTTTGCTTTCTCTGATTCAGTATTTTTTCTTTCTAATAGTACATAAGTAATTCTAATAAATCGGATTAAGCTACTGGAATAATTAATTTATTTTATTTAATTTTATATTTTTGCTTTAGTTAAAATATTTTTAAATATTTATGTATTTGTTTGAATAGCAAATATTATTTGTAAATTTTAATTACTTTTTTTTTTTTTTTGGTTTTTAGGATTAAATTACTAGTGAATGCAACTATTTATTAAACTTTTGAAAAAATTTAATTTATTGAAGAGAAAATGCTACAGAATTTTAAAATTTGGCTAAAGTTATTTTGTAATTTTCAGTATTTTCATTTTGCAGTTTTTGAATTTTTTTTTTTGTTTTTGTATATTTAATCAAAATTTTTCTTTTAATATTTTATATGTAATCATTGCTTAATAAATATTTTAACAAATAATAAGCTAATTAGAAATTAGTTTTCATAAATTTTGAACAAATGTATGATTATATATTAATGAAAATCATCAATATTAATAATAACGAGAATTATTTCAATTAATATTTGGATTATTAAAATTTCAATATATTTTCGTTATAAATAACAATAATCGTTTGTTTTACCATTTGTTAAAATTTTTTGCCAGTTTATTTTGATCAAATGAGAAAACAGTAACAAAATTATTCCAAAATTAAATTAACTAGTTATTTAATTATATCACAGAAAATAATTTTTTTATAACATTGAAATTTATGTAAATATAAAAAAAAAATTCTATTATAAATTAAAATTGAAATTATAATGGTTTTTAAAACAAATTTTCTTAATTAGCAATTATTACGTTAAAATAATTTATTGATTATAACAATAATTTTTTTTGATCATAAATAGTTTTACAAACAAATTATTTTTAAATGATATTTTTCGTAAGGATTTTCTGTTTTTTTTTAAATGTTACAAGCTGCAATTAAGGCCATAAAGCACCATTTATTTAAAATAAAATATATTAATGTTATTTATAAAAATTTGTTTGCTAGCAAATTGTTAATTTTTTTCTATAATAAATGCATGTGTTAAACAACCAATATGTAAAATACAAAACTAGAAAATTATAAAATAATTAAAAAATTTATTTTTTGTCTGAACATTTTAAATACATTTGGCACTTAAGAAACTCAGAAATGTAAAATATTAAAATTATTTATAATATTAATTTGAAATTGAAATGGTATGATTTGATTTTTGTTTTTCTTTTCGTTTTCCAAATATATATATATAATGCATTATATAATATTATTTTTTGTTAAAACCTATATTATATTTTTAATATTTTTTAATAATATCGTTCTCTATATAAAATAATTGAATAAACTCTTACTTCATTTTTTTTTTTTCGAGGAATAATTTTCAATAGTTACCAGGAATAATATTACATTTAAATAATAATTTTTAAAATTTTAATTGAAACTAGAATTGTGTCCCGAAATTGATGAAGAAATATGATCTGAGATATTTTTATTCTTTAAATTACAGTACAAAAAATAAATGTCAAAATGTAGTTTCAAAATTTGAGTAATAGGTAAAAAGTATTATACACCAAAGCCCTATTATACCAACCAGTTTTTACGTTTACTTTTGCTTTTTAATTCTTGGTGCAATAGCAACTTTGCCATGAACATTAATAAAATCTTATGACAACTTTAACATTAACACTAAACAAAATTTATTGTACGAGAACCAAAGTTACATAGGTTCCAGTTAGGCATATTAATGCGATTTTATAAGTTTAAAATATAAAACGCAATCTAAAGAATATTACTTTGAGTTTTTAAAAAAAAAATTCTTATCCCTGGAACTATTGAAACAAAATATTTTCTTTATATCAGTTTTCTCTTTTTTTTTTTGTTTTCAATTTTACACACACGTACATAACATGTAAAATATGTATTTATATAGTAAATTATATGTATATTTTCAATATGTATTATTATTTTTACATTTAAAAAAAAAAAACATACATAATTCTAAAGATAAAATCACAAAAGTTATTTTTTCAAATACAAAAAAAAAAAAAAAAAAAAAAAATCTTCTTAATCGTCTTTCATATCTCTTTAAAGAACCTCTTTGGCCACAGATAATTTTATCATTATTAATTTTTTTTATGCTATTCTTGCTTTTCATTTACGAAATAGTTTTTTAAATCTAAAAATATATAAAAAAGAAACAAAAACAAAGTCAAAAAATATTATTTTTTTTTTTATATATATTAAAAATCCTTTGTACATTATTGATCTGAATAAGATTTATGCGTATTAGCTTCTAGCCAATTAAAAAAGTGTGAAGAACATTTTTATATCAAAAAAAAAAGAAATATTTATTTTATAAAAATATAAAATATTGTACATTTAAATTAGTTGATATTTAATTGTAAATTGTGCAAATATCAACTAATTTAATAAAAAACAGAAAAAAAAAAAAATAGCATACAATAAAAATAAATGTATTGCATGAATAAATAAATTAAAAAAAAAGCTAAACTTAATTTAATAAAAAAAAAAATTGTATAATTAAAATTCAATTAAAGTGAAATTTTATAGATCTTTTGTACAATGGATCTTTCATATTTTTATGTATGTAGTTAAAAATGTTGTATATAATATATTTTTAATATATTAGTAAAAACTAAAACATATTCTTAAATTATGTTTTTGATTAATTAAAAACTTGATGATGTATTTTTTTTTTGTTTTTTTCTCTAATGCTGTAATATCAATGAAAATATTCAGTTAATATTTTTTTTTTTAATTATTTAATGTTTGTTTTATTCTTTCAATAATATTATTCTTGATTTTATTGTGTTGCTGCTCTAAAATTCATAATAAAACTGATGAGGTCGATAATGTTGTTGGTTTACTATGTGTTTTGTTTATTTTGTTTATTTCTTGATTGATGATGATTTTATTATTTCTTTTCGCATTTTATTATTTTTTTTTTTTATGATTTCTTTGGATCTTGATTAGTTTTAATTGAATGTGGAAACATTAGGATTAGGGCCAGCTGACAGAGCCATTTTAGAAAGCGTTGAAAGCGATCGACGTGGAAAAATAGTTGAATCAGGATCCGAAAATAATTTTCGGAAGCTAAAATAGAAAATTAAGAAACACACAAAGAAAAAATAAAATATATAGGAATAGCAAATACAAAAAACAAAAGAAATTTTATTTTATATAATATGTATTTTTTGTTTTTTTTACTAATGAAAATACATCAAATAAAAAGAATAAAATCATTTTGTATGTAGTTTATAGTGATATACAATTTTTTGTAATTATATAACGAACCACTTTTCTGAGGGACGCATCAGTGATCATTTAGTATTTTAATTTAAAACAATGCCACTCACAAAAATAAATAAGTAGTTCTATTATGTAATTAGAAAAATTGTCTACTGTATAATATACAAAATAACTATAAACACAATGATAAAACCTAAATTTTTATAAATTGAGAACATTTAAAATTTTTCAAAATTCACAACAAATTACATTTAAATATTTTTCTTTTTTACAAAATTAAAACAGAATTAACTAAATATTTTATTCAAATTGACGAACTAATAATTCTAATAATTATTAATTAAATTTATTTAATAATTTTAACTAATAATTAAAAACAAAGAGAAAAATAACATTTTATATTGCTTTCAATACGTGAAATCTTTTTCAGAAACAATTTACTGTAAAACTGTAAAAGAATAAGAAAAAAGTATGTATAAAGAATATTTGAAAAAAAATATAACAAATAAAAAGATTATTTATAAATAAAAATGAACATAATTATAAATTTAGCTTTTAGGAAGAAAAAAAGAAATAAGTTAATATTAATATTTACAAAACAACAATTAAATTTTGAAGAAAAGACTGACTGATTAAAGTAAAAAATTAAATTATTTGATTTTAGTGCTTGTTTATAAAATCAACTGCAACAGATATCTTCTAAAAATTTAGCTAATGAAAACTTGTCTAAAATAAATAATTTGTAAATAAAAAAAGTTACAATAAAACTTAATTTTACCACGAATGGTTCTATATAGCTAATTTTGAAATTGTTAATTTCGTTTACTATTTTTTAAAGCATACAAAATGAGCTATTCTAATATAACACAACGAGTAACACTATTTAAAATAAACTTAAAATTTAGTTTTATTTGTGTTTTAGAATTCGACTAAACTAAAATTAAGAGAATAGGAAAATTCTAAATGAAGGAACTTCTGCTTATAACTTTTAAGATTTTTACAAAATGGAAAAAAATTTTGTTTTTAAATATTAGAAAATCATTGAATTGTAGAAGACTCAATTGAAAAATAAAAGAAAAACTGAACTGAATGTACTTATTTGATAAAAATATAGAATATTTCATTTAATTGCGCCCCATATATACAAATACATAGTACTTTTAAATGAATAATTAGAAGAGCAGTTTTTTTTTATTACTAAAATATCAAAATGTTGACTCAGAATAGCTAATATTCAATTGTGGACAGATTTATAGACAATATTCATTTTATTTAAAAAAAAAATATATTTATTTAATCGATGTGTCTATATGAAATTATAAGTATGCAAATCATTTTTTATGTAAATAAATTATTCGAAAGAATAAACATTTTGTTTTTTAAAATAAAAAATCAGAATGATCTTAAAAATTTATGCATACAAAAATAACATGCAATATTTATTATAATTTTTAAATTTTGAATTTATAATTTATAAAAAAATCGTATTATATTTAATAAAATAATTCATAAGAATTGAAAACGAAACAATTGATATACTTCTTAAAAAATGCAATGAGTTATTTATAGAATTAAAAAATTAACAATCAAAATTATTAAATATAATATTATTTAGCAAACAATAAAATTTCTAGCAAAATTTAATAAAAAATAATTGAACTATGTAATATAACATGCAAGTTGTGAATTTTTAAAGCTTTAAATTACGAATGAAATTTTAAAATCACATAAAGAAAATTATAATATTTGAATTAATTTAAAAATTAATTACAAGATTGAAAAACAAATCAAATTAAACATGATATATAATTATATTCCATAAGCCATTAACTAATTAATTATGGATTCAAGCATCTTCCACATTAATTAAACTTACAATCTTCGAATTCCTGATTCGGTTGGCCTTTTTTCATCTGGATTATACCATTCATATGGTAGAGGACCTTGTACAGGAGCATCTTCATCAGGTGGCCTAAAATATTAAAAAAAAAAATTTATTCAATAAAAAAAATTCAATAAATTAAAATTATTTATAAATTTTTAATATAAAATTTTATTTATAATTATTAGTAATTCTCACGTTTCACATTTTGGTGGTTCATCTTCAATATCATCAACAATATCAGGTTTATATTTTCTTAATTCCTCAGTTAAATCATCAATTTTTGTTAATAGTTCATCTCTCTCATTTAATAATTCTTTTAATTCACTTGTTGTATATCTTGGCCTATTTGGATCATCATTCTCATATTCTAAAGAATTTGCTAAATCTTCATTTTCTTTTTCAGCAATACCTAAACGTTTCTTTAATTGATTTATTTCACGATGTTGATCTTGTAATTGAGCTAAGAAATCAGCTCTTTCTTCACATAAAGTTTTCACTTGAACCTGTAACATTTTTTGTCTTCGTCGTGAATCTCGGCCAGAATTTGTCAGTCTTTCAATTTGGATATTCAACTAAAAAACAAAAAAAAAACAAAAAAAATTATATTTTATTATAAAAAATAAAATTCTATTTTCTATTTCTATATTTTTACATTTTCAATATCAACAACTTTTTCTTGAAGTTCTCTCTCTTTTACTTTAATTTCATCACGTTGCTTATGAATCTGTTCTTTCAGCCTTTGTAATATTTGTGTATCTGTCAATGCATTTGATAATTCAATATTTGTTATACTCATAATACTGTCTGTTAAACTATTTCCCAATCCTGATGAATGAGCTGATGCTGATTGCAAATCCTGCTGTTGTTTAATTATTCTTTTATTTTCTTCTTGCAAACTGTTCACTAGGTCAACTAATTCTCTTGTTTCTGTACGCCATTGATCCTCAATTAATTCAATTTCCTGAAATCACAAAAAAAAAAAAAAAAAAATAGAGAAAATTAAAATATTTTAAAAATGAATAAATTATGAAAATTATTATAAAATTAATGTAAATTTCGTTTTTGTAAAGTAAAAAACTTTTTCAATTATAATTTTTTATTGTAGAATGAAAAGACAAAGGAAAACTGATGAATAAAAACACTTTTTGGTGAAATATAAAACATTGTTAGCTATAATAGTTCTCCCCAAGTTAAGGTTATGCTACTGTGGGTATCCTTCCATCGTTTAACATTCATTTAATTTATTTGAATACAAAAGAAGTACTGAACTGCTTTCGCAATAACGTACAAAATTTACACATTTGTAAGGAAGAAATCAACTATTTAAACATACAAAATTAAGATTTTTAACTAAATTTTGAAATTCAAATTATGATAATTAATTTTACTAATGCGATAAGGAACGTAGAACGTATACAGTGCATATTTGGTATCGCATAGTAATCGCGGATAATTAAAGTAAAAAATTTCCATTGAGATGCAAAAAATTCGTGATTACTATAACACAAGAGAGTGTTTTATAAAATTTGAAGTTGCAGTAGTATTTACCTTTTAAATCTTAAAATTTAAGATAACAATGCTTTTATTCAAAGATTTGCTATTTCTTACTAATTTTAGTCTTCTTGTTCAATGGTTGACAACTTATTAAATTTTTTGATATTGAAAACACTAAAAATTATTCAAATTTATTGGAAAGAATAGTACTGTTAATATTTATAGAAAGTCAAATTTATTTTTGACATCTTATTTATTTCTCAGCTGAAATATTGCCGTATATACGTATATGTCAAAAACTAGAATAGTGACATTCAATTCAGCCAACATTGTTCTCTTTATATACGGATTTTGAAAGATTTGTCAACAGCAAGTAAGAGAATGTGCTTGATATCAAAATGACATTCAGAAGTGAAAAAGAAGATTAAATTTAATTTAAAAAAATGAAATTATTCTCAGGATAATTAAATATTTTTCAAAAAAAAAAAAGGAAAAAAACGAAAAATGAAAAAAAAAATTGAATAAATTTCTAGTAGAAAAATTCTAAATTTAATAAGATGGAAAATTATTTTTATTTTTTTTGTTCTCTACTTCTTTTTCTTTCGAAGATAACACCTTAAAATTAATGACATTAATTTAAAATGGCTGTAATTTTTAAATTTGCATAGGTACGTTATAATGTCATATTTTATCATAATTATCTAACCAGATTTTGTCAAAAATTCGATTTTTTTTTTCTTCTCTTTTCATTTTTTTGTTTTCTTCGAAATTTTTACTTGTATACGTAAATTATTTATGCAGATAATCTTTGTCTATATTAATTTTATGGAATGATGTTGAATATAGGTAAGTTAAATTATTAAGAGTTTTTAGAATTTTAATTATGTTAAAAATAACAAATAATTAAGAAGAAATTTTATAGTTAAATATATTTTATTAAAATTATAATAAATTACGGATCTATATTAATATAGAAAAATAAGATAAAGGGGTAATTATCCTTTTATATCTAAAAATAAAGTTTTAAATACTAAAATAGATAAGATAGAATTTAATTTAAATTATTTAGGCATTTAAATTCTTGTTTCTTGTTGCCTCTTTTGAGGCAAATCCTTTTTAAATCTATATTTAATTTAATTATAGTAAAACAAAGAGAACTGATAATAGATTGTGTCCTATTTTCTATCTATATCATATTAAAACCACTAAATTTATGTGAAAATAGTTAGTAAATATGTGTATATGGTATTTTAAAAAGGATAATATTCTCATTTCATACACATATTATGGTAAGTATCACTTACGACAATTAAGGCTATAGGACGAAAACAAACACTTTTATTAGAGCAAATTTGTTTTGGTTTTAAAATATCCTTGTCAAATTTGCATATCCTTTTTGTTTTTTGTCAAAAATGTTTGAATATTTTTATGTGTGATAAAATCTAATAAAAATTAATAGTTTTGTTCTTGTGTTTCTTTCTCTTTTCAGAATTCTATAACATATACTATTACTAAACACTTTTGTTTTTAACTTTAGTTTTTAAGCTTTTGATTATGTTCTATGGTTTAAAATATTTAGTTTTTATTTTGTGAAAAAAAAAATGTAGATATTAATTTGTTTAAATGATTTCTGTCATTTGATTAAACCTAGAAGAGGGGGCTTAATAAGAATATTTTCTAAAAATATATTTTTGTACTACTATACACATTGCGTGGCACTCGACCGCAACACACGGAAAGCCCTATCTATATGCGAGAGGGCAAGAAAAATTTGCCCAAAATACGATCTTAGGAAATCTTGTGTTTGGAATAGCATGCGGCTAGGCTAAAATTACCCTTTAATACGATATATTGCAGTTGTCGGGAAATAGACAAGAAGGAGACTATTTTTTTCGCTATCTCTGACAGTGTTCTGGGACGAGCCATACTTTTTACACGGAATAGAGCAAGCGTTTGGTAAGATATTGAAGATTATCAAACGAAGTGAAGGAGAAGTGATAACGGGGTTGTGATGGATTATCTGTATAGTGGACAAACCACTTCTTTTGCAATCTTATTCAAATTTCGAAAATAATGAAGATATTGCTTAAATCATTAATTCTTTAACACCTTTAGTTAACATCAGAAAGAGACTCTCTTTTGAAAAATGTTTATTACCTCAATATTTTTTTCGTATAATGTACAGATTATAGAAATCGTTTTTGAATTAAATATTTTTATAGGATCAATAAAATCTTTCACTAGAAATAATTAAGATATTTTATTTTAATCAATAAAAAATCAAAGATTTATGAAAAAATTAAAACCTACATTGAAAACTAAACTATAACATGTAAACAAGTTCAAGTATTTTCAGTAAAGCAGAAGAAAAAAATAAATATAACAAAAAAAAAAATAGAAACCAAAAAGCAAAAAAAAGAGCAAAATACTTTGAAGGATTACCCGGATTGAATAATTATAAATGTCAAGTCTCTGAAGCAAAAAAAAAAGAAATAATTTTTTGTTTTTAGATTAATTTGGTCCTCATTATATTAATTATGAAAATATTTTCGTAAAAATTAATTGATCCTATAATATATATAAAATGTGTGCCACCCACGTTAACAATAAATATTCAAGTTGTTGTTAACTTCGACTTTCATTATCATCCTTTTCTTATTTTCTTATTTTACACTTTAATGATGACAAATACCACACACATTTATATAACTATGGTATATTATATATCATATCAGCACTACATAGTTATAGTATATATAAGGTACAATATTTATAATGTTGTATGTGTATGTATGGAATAGAATAGAATTAATTAGAATTAATTTGGATAATATTATTCTATTTTAAGAATAAAGTTTCGATTTAAATTATATATGTAGACAGAAAGATGTATATGCGATGATAAAAATAGAAATTGGTGTTAAGTATATGAAATAAGGTTATATTGAAAAAAAATTAAAAAATATATAAAGTGAATAAACTGATTTGGATTCAAAAGGATAATATTAACAAGAAAAGTATAATACAAAAAATAATTTAGTATAAAAAATAATAATATAAAAAAAAATTTATTGAAATAAATTAAGTTAAATGTTAAAGCTATATATATATATATATATACTTATGTATATATATTGCATTTTGTACTATCCTGGGAGCTGATATTGAATAATTAACATTTAAGTATGCATTTGTAATTTAAAATATGTTAAAAACAAGGCGGGTATAACAGTTAATTTATTTGTGTTGAAATGTTAAAATCTCTTTTAATATACATACATACAATGGATATTATATACAAATATTTTTAAGCCAATTAATATTTTTTGTTTTTCACGTATCATAACTTTTAAAGTCTACCCAATATACAATTGTCCATTTTTTTATAACAAAACCAAAAAAAAAAAGGTAACAAACAACTGCTACACCAATAACAAATATGTTTCATGTAAAATTCACATGAAATTATCAGAAAAAACAAAAACTTTTATTTTATTTTTAAAACAATAAGTACACAGAGAAAAAAAATGAGCAGCAAAAAAACTTTGCTTCCACTAAAATTGAAAAAAAAAAAGTTACAAAATAAAAAGAGAAAAATCAGTAAAAAAAAAAAATTTATAGAATTTTATTTTTTTTTTTCATTTGAGCTGGAAGTTGTTGTTATAAATATATTTGTTCCAGCTTACTATAGAATAACAAAATTCGATTTGAAAAATCTAATTTTTTTTTTTGAAACTATAAATTGTTTAAAAATTTAAATGTATAAAATATATTTTTATATGGTTTGATTGTATAATGCGTTTAAATGTAGAGCATATTTTAAGAATGCTAAAATATTTTTGTACTTGATAAGAATAATAATATTTATGACCATTGAATTGCCCCCTTTCCCTTCCCTTTCCATATATAAATGATGACGATTTTATTTAAAATTGCTGATAGCCATATTTGTTGACTAAGTGATATTTATTTTACTATGCTTAATGCGCTTGTTGTAAACAATTGTCTGATATAATTTAATAATAAATAAAAAAAATGAATATTTTTTAAATAATTTTGCTTAAGCAAATTATTTATTTATTTTAACTAGCTAGCCTTATTTAGTATTACAAAATCTACACATAAATTTTTTTTATTAAATTTAATTAAATCCCTAAAAGTATGCAATTTTTATGAAATTTTATACATGAGAATTATAGCTACTATATAGCTACTATATGTATGTGTATGAAAATTTCAACATTTAATTACAATTTATTCTAAATATTTATTAAATTGTTATAAACGAAAGAATATTTTTAATACGTACCCTACAAAATGTTTTGCTTCTATTATAATTTTTGAAAATATTATTTATAAAGTTGAAAAAAATTTATGATATCGCGAATTAAAAAACAAAATTTATTTGTATATCTACATATATGTAGATATACAAATTGCATCTGTACCTGTATAAAAATATCCTAAAAGGGTCTTACTTTTACGTCATTGAATTTGCTTTTGTATACAAAATAAACCTAAAGGTATATAATGAAGGCTATTGACCGTTGAATTTTACACATGTGCGCACATATGTGTGTACCTATACGAAATAAATTGAAAGTTTAAAAATATTGTTGAAAAACAGAAAAATTTGAAATTTTTTAATTAAATATTATTTGTTTTTTCTTTTACGAGAATGTTAATAAATTTATTACCATTTGTGTAGTTATTACAATCTAGTAAACCAGAAATTTATGAGTAGTTTCACAAAAAGAAAAATTTCAATTATTCAATCATTTTTTTTTGTATAGGTTTTGTTTAATTTAATTTAATTAAATTAATTAAAGTAAAATTAATTGAAAATTATTTGCAAAGTTTGTTACAAAACTTTCTTTTGTTATATGAACTCGAAAATGGTCTATAGCGGGTTTTTAATCAAAAATATACCATTATTTTTTTGTAAATTGCATTTCTGTAATCATATAGAATGCATTTAATTTTAAAAACCATTGCAGTCTAATTGAATTGCGCAATAAAATGTTTTAAGACTACTTCAATTTTAAAATTTTAAAAAAATTGCGAATCTCTTAACGTTATTATTCAAAACGTTTTTTATTTTTCTTCAATTAATTTCAACTAAATTAAAAGTAGAAAAGGATCCTTTTTAAATAAAACACCTACTATAAAATAAATAACAAAAACATCAAATGAATAATTGGTCAAAAAGTTTTTACTGGAATTTCAGAGATTGAAAATTGTAAAAAAACGAGAAAAAATAGAGTTGACCTTGCCAATATTGCGATACCCGTACGAATTTGTTATTCTATGTGGGGACAGGCTATGACTTTAAGTTGCCGTATTACCATATTAATTTTTGCAAAATTTCAGTACTGTGTTTTTCAAAATACTGTGTGTGCCAAACTTCTATTGAAGTTTTATGGCAGCTATCAGAAAGATCCAAGCCATTTTAATGAATTTTATCAAACACATCGGCCCTACTAATATATTTGCTTGTGTGAAATTCTGCGATATAAACACATAAATTTTGAAGTTGTATGGCAGAATACCCGAACCAGTACTCCGATCATGTCCAATTTAAATAGGCACTTACTACAATATATCATTTGTGAAAATTTTATGAGCTTAGACAGACAAAGTCAAATCGACTCAAAATTCGACGCTTGAGTCTATATCTCAGTTCGTTATTTCTTAGCGTTACAAACGGTAAAGCAAATTTAGTATACCCTTCGAACATACGTTCATACCTGTATAAAAACAAATACTTTTTTTTACAAGGGCTCAATTTCACATGAAAAAAAATATAGAAGAAAGTAAAAATTATACAAATAATTTTGGTTTATGCTATGTGATTTTTTCTCCCTACAACTCTCTTTGTAAGCTATCCTTTTAATTAATTTTGGTTGCCGCAAATTTAAAAATTGCATAAAAAAAAACCAGTGTAAATATTTTTGTTGGTGGCAAAATATTTTTTTCCTTAATACGAAATTTTTTGAAAATAGCGCTATTTTTCAGAATTAAATTCAAATTTAAATTTAAAATTATTTAAATAGGCTTACCAAATAGTTATGACAGAAAATTATTTATAAATTACAGAATTTCTTTTTCTTGCAGAAATCAATGTTTTGCATCTATTGATAACATTTTCTATAAAAGGTGATAAGTCTAAAAACAGTATTCTTGGATTAGACATGATGATATTCTTTGAATTCAGATTTCTGTCGTTGATAGAGATTTATCGAAATCTTATTATGTTAGAATCCTTGTTTTTACAATTCAATAGAGCAACAAATAATAACTACTTTGGTAGGTTATCCACAAATTATACAAATTTAGCATATATATTTGAATTAATATTTACAATTTCTGTATATTTTTCTCGAATATTTTATTAAAATTACTGGAAGTAGTGATTCTAAAATGCAAAATTATGAAATTTTTATAATAAGATTTACATATGTGTATGTATGTATGTATAATTTTTTTAAAGAAAATAATAATCAATTACCATTGTGAACAAATGATATTTTTACATACAAAAATTATATAGAAATTAAAATTTATTTTTAAAACAAAAAAAAAATAAAATTATTTATCTCATTGCACTAGATTAAAATTCTTAAATAAACTTAAAATCAAATATTTCAATTTTCCTCAGAGATTTATTTTTATAAACATTACATACAGGCTGTATATAAAGATTAATATACAGGATGTCACGTATTAAAGTGCACTCCTATATACCATTGCTAAATTAAACTGAAATAGACAGGCATGCAACTGTATGCGCTTAAAATTTCAAAAAGCAAATTTAACTAGATTATAGATGAGGTTGATTTTAAATCCCTGTGTTGAACTGTAAACATCGTTTCCCATACAAAAGATTTGTTTACTCATGAGGGCCTATACAATAGTATGTAGTCGTGTACTTAGATACAAGACACCCTGTATTCATACACTATTCTTATATAGCTGTAAATGAATTTTTTTAAATTTAAAAAATTCATAAATTTTCAAATTGATTTATGAAAATTTCCCAAAAATTTAATTTACTTAATTTAATTATAGTTAAGTATAGAGAAAATTTATTCATTTAATTTATTATTACACAAATGGGAATAATAAAAAGATATCTAATTAAGGAAATTAATTCAATGTTAAAAATTAAATTGAAATGAAATTTAAAATTTTTTTTAAATAGAAATTTTGTGATTTCAAAATATTTTGTATAAATATTTCTTTAAGAAAGAAAATTAAAGAAGAAATAAAATTTGGAATTCGCACTTATTTGGAAATTTAGTTTTCAAATGAAATTTTCATTAAATATGAGGTAGATAAAATGCCGTTGTTAAACGTTTCTTCTGAGAAAATATTCTAGATCTTTATAAATATTTCATTTCTTAGAATATTATTTGGTCAGTTGTTTTTCATAAAATTTTCAAAAATGTCTGAATTTAAAAAATTTCGAATGAAAATTTTGGAATAGTAAACATTTTTCTACTTAAATTTCTCTTCAATTTTTCTCAGAACAACGCAATTGTTATTTTCATAGAACATTATCTAATTTCCAATGAATCATCAAGCAATAAACAATGAAACACAAATGGAAAATAATTTATAATAATAGTAACAAAGGCGAATATTATTCGATTTTTATTAAACCCCTTATATTGTTCAGGATAATATTGCAATTTTTATTAAAATTCTACGAATTATCCTTTTAATTTTCTCATATTCTCATTCATATTTTGTTTATTTTTCTTAATAATTGCAAATAAGAAAATTTTTTTTTTTTTGAATGCTATCTTTTTAATCATTTTAATAGAATAATTCTGATAAATTGAAATTAAATCAAGAACAAAAATTTAAATATTTTTTATCATTCTTCTATTTAATATTATGAATTTCGTTGAACATATTGTTTTCAATGAACTCTACACAATTAAATTTCCAAACCTTGTTTCATCTCTTAAAAAAAAAAAAAATATTTACATTTATTTTAATTTTGTTTTACTTATATGTTTTTGTAAATGTAATAATAATCAGAGCATAATTTAATAGTCACAAAAGAATATAGAAAGAAAAAATGTTTTTTTTTTTTGTTTTCTTATACTCATGCATACATACGAGTATGTACATATTTATAGGAAAAAATGAAATTTGGAAAGAATTTCTATAGAATTTTCATTGATTATATTTTTACGAAGAGGTTCATTTTTTTTTTTTTGTTATGAAAACCGAGTTGAATTTCAAATAGAATAAAATTAGAATTAAATATATGAAAAAAAAAAATCTGATGTGGTCAGCACATAACCGATTGCAATGTATATTGCCTAGGTAAGTGAAAGTAAAGATTACGAAAATGCATTTTAAACACATTTTCCCAATTTTAAGAGCATTAATAAGATTATACTTAACATACCTAGAAAAATGTAAATTTGACTCTTGCTAGAATTTCGCTTTGTGATATCCGAATTCCTTGAAAAGTTTATCAATCAGTTTCAATAACAACCAGAACTAAAATATCAAATTTCAAGAAATTCTATATCAATGGTAAAAAATATGGTAGACATGATAAAAAATGTAAAATCGATCTGCCATTTGATTTCCAAGCTCTGATTTTTCTAAAAAAATTATCGGTTCATTTATCCCGACACACCTCGAATTTAAATATTAAATTTCAAAAAAATTGGTTCATTATTTCTCCTTATATACGCAAAAATGTAAAATTGGCCCACAAAAAGGTAAAGTTCTAGAGGTTTGATATATCCCGAAAGTTGATAAATCCGTGCACATAGCCAAATTAAAATCAAATATAAAATTTCATAAAAATTGGTTCAGCCGAACTTAAAATACACGATTATATACACAGACCGACAGACCGATATCTCTCTAAAAGTAATATATTTACCCTTCCTCTTACTATGAGGAAGTGCATTCAGACCGAAAAGTCAACATCCAAAATTTTGTACCATCATATAACCTACCTCATTTTGTATAAAATGCGGTGGGTAAAAAATCAAAAACATTTTTAGTAAAAAATTTTCGTTTTTTTATATGCTTCATAAAATTCTAATATAAAATGCGGAAAAATTGTTACATGTTGTACATGGAAAGGAAATACTCGTATAGATATATATATGTATATACATGTAAAAGTATTTTTATGAAAATTTATGAAAAACTACCTACAAAAATTTTGGAATTTTAAAATCCTTAAATAAGAAACTTTTGAAAAAATAATGAAAAATATTTATGTGAATTAAAAACTGTAAAATTCATTTGAAAAATGTTAAAATGTGAACCGTTTTTTAACCTATCATATTATACACATATACTATATATGAAGTGAAAAAAATTAAGTTAAATTAAGGACGTAATCGTGCATCTCGCTATTTTATTCGCCAGGTAAGAAGAAGTTGAATAACTAAGTATAAGATATTGTATATCTTGTATTGCATATCTCGTTTTTTCCTAAAATGTACACAAAATTTATTTTGAAATTGAAGAGAAAAATATGAAATATTTTTCCATGTGCCCCTATAAATATGCAATTTTTATAACTTTACTCAATCACATATTTTCTGTTATGAATGAATTTTATTTAATACTTTGAATGAATTCAATTATTTTTGAAAGGAATAAAGAACAAAATTTAATTACATTTATTTTGAATTTATTTTTTATTTTAAATTTTTTTCTTTATTTATTTCGAAATTCCTACGTTAACATTTCATTATAAATTATTAATATAAAAGAAATGTAATAATTTTCTGCTCACCTGATTTTATAACATATGAATGCTATTTTTAATGTTATAATTTAACACCTACAACAATTGAAAGAAGAAAAAACAAAATAAGAAAATTTACATAGGAATTTATGAATTCCTGGAGGGTAATACGAGTAGCTAAATAAATATTTTCTCAGTAAACTGAATTTAAAAATAAAAATTTTTGAAACATATAGAAATATTTTTTTTTCATTCAATATTCTAGGCTAATTTGTAGTATTTTTAAATTAAAAAAGAAAAAGAATTTGGTTTTCTTTAGTATATTTTTATGATTAACTTTATTTGCGGAATTTACATGAACTTAAAACGTACTATACTTAGTTACTTACTTAGGTAAGTTCTATAGATAACAACAAAACAGATGTCCCACGCTCAAATTTAATGATTCTATGTATATGTATGTTTGTATGTTTGCATATACATAATATGTATTACTTTATGCTTTCTGGTCCTCCTCCATTCACACAAAAAAAAAAAAGGAAAAAAGTTGAATTGCAGATTTATGGGTGTAAAAATTGTTTTCTTTTTGGCGTTTTTTTTATGTTTCTTTACTTGCTGACACCTACGTAGCCATATTTTTTTTTTGGGATAAAAATTTTGTCTTTATTAAGTTTTAAATTATTTATTTTGTGTACAAAAAAAAAAAACATTTCTTTCTTATTTTTTTTTTAATAAAAAAATATTCTTTATGATTGTTGTGTAATGGCAGAATAGAAAATAATTTTTTTTTTCATATTTTCTACAACTACTACATAAATACATTGAAAAAGAACAATATATATATATGTATATATATATATATATTTTGTACAGGAAATCAAAAGAAGTTCAATTCTTTAATGTTCGTTTATAATGCTTATGTAAAAACTTCTCTGAAGAGAAACAATTTTATTATATTGTCTCAAAGTTCTTTCTGCTCGGAAGTTTTTTGTTACAGCAGTTCAATAAGTCTTAAATTGCATTATTTTCCAAAAAGTAATGATAACTAGCAAAATATATTAAAAAATTTTTTATTTTTTAATATTGTGCGGAGGCAGGTTAATCGTCAGATGAAAAAATTTCTTTTTGATTTTGAAATATTCAATTAAGAATAAATTTACAATTAAACATACTCTAAATATTGTACGACTTGTGATTTCAAAAAAATTTTCAAAATCTTACAACTTTCAAAATTATCAATTTTAAAATTTTATGTCCTTGAATTGAAAAAACAAAAAAATTCATTTAAAAGAAAAATAATTTATTATTTATGTTGGATTAAAATTTCTTTAAAAATTTTCTTATTTAATGAAATTTTAAAATTTTCAAATAGAATTTTTAATTATTTAAAAAACAAAGGATATGCCATTAATCCTTTTAATTGAAAAATTTAAAATGGAATTGTATAGATTAAGTATAAT